TGGGTCACAACGCGCCACCGGAGGTTAGTTACTTGCTGCTCAGAGGGCATAGTGCCATTGAGTTGGTGTAAGATGGACACAAAGAGGCAGTGACCATTACCTGGGACTACGGCTACTCTGGCCATAACACCACCGACGTCAACGACGTCTTCATCTAGAGGCAGCGGCGCAGGTGATGCGGGCGGCGGTGAAGGTGACGGAGCTGGTGGTGGCCCAGGCGGTTCGCTAGGCGATGGACCTGGCTGTGGCAAAGGTGGTTCGGTGGAATAACCAAGCTGCGCCTTTGTGCGCTGGGCCATATTCACTATTTTCTGAATCGCCGTTAGTCTACGTTTCAGAGAGGGAGCCGTGTGCAAGGTTGAGAGGCGAGCCCGGACAAAAGGTGGGTCAATCAGAAGAGTGTCCCATGTCTTTCCGCGGGTCATGGCCACGTAAGAAAGACCTGATTGAAACTCTCTCTTGCCAACGTTCACAACTACTCTGTCGAGAGTGAGACCTTGAGCACTGTGGACCGTGCTTCCCCAGGCAAGGCGTAGAGGCACTTGCTCTCTGCTGCAGGCTACCTCTTTTACCTTAAAAGTGCGAGTAAGAGGCAGTGTTGGAAAGGATCCGTCAACTGGTATGACAGGGCCAGTGTAACGCTGAAACCTGACAAGCACGGCAAAGGGCAGTTTGTTGGGTGGGCTCTGGCCTTCGGCATAAACGACAGCTGCAACAGTGCCCAAAGCTCCGTTGACGAGGCCAGCTTTTGTCCACAAGTTGGCACGGAGCATTACGAGAGCACCAACTGAGAGGTAGATTAGTGATTCGAGACCACCAGCTTCGTCTGGGCCAGCCTTTTTAGCGGTGTCGTTATTGTGGACAGCTGGTATACGGGCGACAGGACAATTCAGTTCGACGAGTCTTTTGATGTTGTAGGCCCTGGCGTCGCTGTTTGTAGAAAAGATGTGCATCGCATCCCGGAATTGCCGTTGCTCTGGCGGTGGGACGACACTTGAAAAACGCTGCTGAAGCAGCTTGTAGCTCTCCACACTACAGCAGCCCCTAGAAGACATCATAAAGAGTAAAGGTAAAAATTAATAGTTGTACCTTGAAGTGGATAAAAATGACCATTTGGGTGGTATCGTCCCTTACCTGCCAATCTCATCGAGGACACTGCACAGGCTTGTGTCTGTTTGCCGCTTGGATTGAGAGAGCACGACAGCGTGTTTGAACTGAGCAAAGGTATAGTGCCCACGGAGGTCCATTTCAGAAGAACCGTCTTTGGGCACGCTGTAAATGGCCTTGCTGCATACAGGGGGGAGTTGAGCCAAGTCCCCAATCAGATAGATGTGCATATTTCCAAATAGTTCTTTGGAATAGGGATGTGCCTCACTACACCGTCGCTCGACCATTCCAAGCAGGCTAAGGCTCACCATGGGGTATTCATCGATGAAGAGAAAGCGTACGTTTTCCATGTCATCCTGAAAAGCTTTTGCACGCTCTCCGGTGAGTGGGGCAAAGTCACGCGGTCTGATGGGCAGTTGCAGGCCTGAGTGAAGCGTCTCACCGTTGATGCCCAGGGCAGCCACAGCAGTAAAAGCCATTAGCCGATAGGAGTCACGACCAAGCCGTGCGTCCAGGGTAGATGTCATAGCTTTAATGACTGTAGACTTTCCACAGCCAGCTTTGCCTTGGACGATTACTAGGCGTGGCGGGGTTGAGCCTCTGGGTTTGACAATTTCTTCAATCTGCAGTGACAGGATGTCCATGACAACTTGCTGCTCCGCAGACAAGTGAACAGCGGGGCCGGTCGAGGTTGTGCGCTCCACAACGAATTCTGCTTTTGCCGTTTGGAGGAAGGTCCGTAAAACGTCGAGATTTCCGTAACGGTGTCCCTCGGATGCCCAGTCGTGCGCGAGGTCCATCTCTCTTGTGCCTAGCTCGACACGCTCGACATTTTGGTTTGGTAGGTGCCGTGCGACTGTCATCCATTCGTCTAAATTCTCTCCTTGTGTAACGTCCATGTCATCTAAATCATTGTTTTCAGGGTCTGGAAGTTGCTCTTCACCTTGCGGCACCACATTGTTGGCGGTGAATGCTTGACGCCACGTGCCGTGCCACGAGAGGGCTCCCTCTTCAGTTCGCCATGGGACGTGCAGCAAGACTTGCTGGCGATAGTACCCTTCATTGCGAGCAGCGCAGGGAGTGAGGCGCAGACTAGGATTCACGCATACCACGTTAAATTTGGTAAGTTTGGCGTACCTAATCAATTAGAACAAATTTCCCTTTTAAGTAAAATAGAAATAACAATATGCTTCAAAAAAAGGGCAGGAGCTGTACGACGAACGTCTTACCTTTTTTTGGATGTGTCGTACTTGTAGTCACGAGCAAACGTCCACAACGACACCTCATTCAGGTGTGCAGGCCTCTTGGGGTAGCGCTCGAGCAGTGAGCTGTGCGCCTCGTCTGCTTGGACAGAAGATGACTCGTGTTCAGGATCGCCTTGGACGACGTCAGGATCATCAGCATTGTACTCTTGGATGTCTGAAGTTCTTTCCGGAGCCGGTGCTACCCAGGTAGGGTCGAAAAAGTTCACTCTTACGAAGTTCCGGGAGCTATGCATGAGCTTCTGTGAAGTTGCAAGATGAATAATTTCTTGAGATGAAAAGTCCCGCTCACTGATGGACTGCACGCAGCGCCGTTGGATTGCTTTTCGTGCACTGTCGTCATCATTTAGGTCCCGCAATGCATCCTCAAAAAGTTCCTGCATGGACTTTGACTTCTTTTCAGGCTTAGCCGAGTATTTGGCAAGATAACTGGCACATAGTTGTTTTGACAATACAGGTTTACTGTCCATATTGCCTATCCAGGCTGAAATGACTCGTTCAATTAAATTATTTAGAAGACTGTCATTCCTCGCTGGGATGAACTGAGGCTCACCCTTTTCATCAAAGATAATTTCAGGACGATCCGCCAGCTGAAAGGGAAACTTAAAACGGCATTCTAATGGCTGTCCTGGACCTTTGCCTCGGCGCAGGCAGTAGGCTTCAGTGCAGCGCAGGTGGCGCTGGACTCTGTTCAAGAGCTCTCCAAGATGGCGCACTCGGTCCTCAGGTGCGACGTCCTTGAAGCCCTTGCGGCAGGGATGCACTTGAGCAGGCGGAAGGCCTAGGCCGACGTTCCACGCGGACACAATGTTGTGAAAGTAGTCCACGACGGTCGCGAACTCCTCAGGAGTCATTTCCTTCAGTCGTGTCACGTCAGGGGCATCTGATAGCCAGAGGAGGCTGTGTATGTGTGGCGACCCACGAAACTGCCATTCAAAGCGCCACCAAAAATCCTTGACAGGATACATCAGCTTTAAAATCTTTCCCATAAAGTACTCCGCCCTCTTCATAAAAAACATACTCGGGACGTACGGCTGGTCTGCAATGAAATTTCTTCTCTGTTCTTCTGTAAGCTCTTCTAGCATGATACGCTCACCGTCAGAGAGGTTGGCATTGTATTGCTCAGGCATAAGGCGGAAGAGATCTGGCCAGTGAAGATCGGCGGCACTGAGAGTCATAAAGATGGTCGGGACACCTAGCTGGTTAATCATGTCCAGTAACTCACTAAGGCATGCACCCCAGTATTGGCGAGTGCCATGCAGCTTGGTGCCGTAAAACATAATATCACGGGCAAGTCCAGGTCGCTGTCTAGCCATTTCCCGCAGATCCCTGACAGTCTTGCCATGGAGGTCCTCGTTTCTCCTGACGTAAATGCTGCCTGCACGTAAGGCTTCATGGCGCATTACGGTGTTGAATGCAAAAAAACGGAAACGGGGATCGTTTGCAAAGCGCCCATCTTTATATTCTAGAAGGAACTTGAAGTACTGCACTGGTGTGAGACGGTGTGGTCTTTCCAAATTCAAGTCTGCAGCGCCAGTAGGAAATAAAGCTGGGAACGCCATACTTATGTACCTGATGTGATTCAAAACAAACAGAATCAATACGTGGTCTTATGAATTTGAAATATTTTCTTATTAAAGTTACATAAAACTGAAAATTATGGAACTTTTCTATCATGAAGTACGGAGACGTAGCATTTTTACAGAAGTTCTTAAGCTCAAAGTACACAATTTTATAAAAAATCGATTTTGTTGACCAGTACGAAAACCGAAAATATGATGAAGACTTTTGATTATGTGCTTTATTTAGGATATCAATGTTCCATTAACTAGCTTTCAAAATTGGCAATGTAATGGTCTCAGTTTTC